AAAAAAAGAGAGATTGCTTACTCTCCCTCAAGGAATTTTTTTCCTTTGAGAAGGATTTTTTTTTTCTTTCCATTCATCCGCGTACTTCTTCTTTCCACCTAGGGGATTCCCATTGAGGAAAATTTTAAAAAAAAGAAGTGCAGAATAGAAAAGAAGAAAAGAAAGAAGAAGGCTATTTTAAACATAGATTCAGTCTTTTATACATGTCAGAAAGGCCACAACATTGGAAATTGAAATGCCATTCTTAAATATCATCACCTACGAGTTTGTTCAAGAATAAAACATGTGTTTCTGTAGAATCCTTCGAGTATGCTCCCATTGGACTTCGCAGTGCAGTTGATGAAACCAGTTTCCAAGCACCCTCTTCCTCAAGAGCATCCAAAAGAAGAACCATCAGATAGGAAATTCCCTCCTCATCGCAAAACTGACCATCCAGCTTCATGTACCAATGATTTGGATTCGACACATACTGAAATCTTGGAGGGGCAACCCTGGTATTTCGTGCAGTTGACGTTGCGTTAGGAATCACCTCATTCAGTTTATCAATGAGTTGCTCCTTCACAGGTCCAATGATCCGAATCTCGGGGCTGTTGAAGGAAAGATTGACGACAAGGTGGTGGACCATTTTTTTTACGTACAAGTGTCTGTTTTCACTTTTGTTTACCCTTTCCTTGACTGGAAAAAGCAGGTACAGACAGCAGAAGCAAAAATCACGCCAGACATTAAGCAGAAAAAAAAAGTTTTCATACATTGTTTTAAACAAAAAAAATTATTAATATTGAAGCCATCATTAGTATATTTTCTTTACTTTTCATTTCGCTGCACCAAAACAGTTTTGATATAAGCATTAGATTACGCGATAAAAAGGATGGCCGTCCTCCAGCTACCCAACGAAGCTCGAGCTGCCTCAATTAGAATCTCCTCTTTTTTGTTAAGCGGTTTGGTCTCCACAAGCCTGCCAAAAAGTTCCAATGAGGCCTTCCAATGCCCTTTATGAAGCAAGGCAGTCGCAGCACTGTCAATATCAGTTGCAGTTGTCGGAATGTCTTCCAAAAGCGATCTCTCACCAAAAACCAGAGTTGTTCCTCTTGTACGTTCCAGTAGGTCCACAACATCTAGTACAGTTGTGTCAACGGCATTACTCCGAAAAAAATCCCTTAGTTGTGCTCTTGTTTCTTCAGAATATATGCGCGATGCACACCTCAAAATAACCACTGCGAAACGATCTAAAAGCTCCACGCACCTTCCCTGGTTATATTCTCGAATAAAACATTTGCAAAAGTCTTGTAGACCAACTGCTGGAATCTCTTCCACCCCTTCTTTACTCAGAACCTCCAAGATGGAAATAGCATCCTCATAACTTTCCAGGGCAAAGGCACAACGGAAAAAAGTTCGCTGTAATGATTTTGAGTGCCAAACGTGCTCACTTTCTTTAATCCAACGAAATGTATCAACTAAATTTCCACCTTGGTAAGCTGAACGAGCAGCGGCAACATCCAAGATTTCCTTTCGCGTCTCTAAAGATATATCACGCTCACTTAGACGAGCCAAAACGGAAATGGCATGTTGCCACTGACACTTCAATGGAAGCATTGAGTTTACAAGATGAGGTATAGACCCTCGACGACGTTTTTCTTCAGCGGGGATAAATGTCGGATCATTTGCTAGCCTAATTGCGTCATTTAACGCCAAAACTACCTCATTGTCCACATCATCCGCCTCTGCAATATCATTTTTTTCTATTTTTTTGGAATCCCCAGAAACATTTTCCTTCGCAATAATCTGATGAAGAACACTTATTGACTGCTCCCACAGGTTATTTGACACTAACTCATCAATCAAAGACTCCCCAACTGCGTCATTTGGGTTCCATGACCACAGGCTAATTGCCAAACGCCATAAGTCATGACCAACAAGTGCTTTTAACATTAAAGAGCAAGTAGGAACATCCTCAAAAGAAAACATACGTGCCCATGAGCTTAATTGTCCCCGCCCTCCTCTTTGCTTCAGAAATAAGAGAGCGATCCGCTGTGCATGCTCTAATTCAAAAGAAGAACCCACCTCTAGTAACGATCGCTGATAATGCACAAGCGCGGTATCCCATGAAGCATTACTTTTGCAAAGAGACGCAACTAACGGTTTGAACGCACTCCAATGAGGCATTCCTTAGAGGCAGCAGTAAAAAAAAAAACGGCAATGATTAAGAAAAGAACAGGAAACGGTAACAATGGAACGGGCAAGAGAAGGAGGGAGAAGAACGATGAAAAGAGGCCAAGCACAAGAACAGAAGCGATCGTGCGGGGGCAGGCCCCGCGGGCGGCGTCGAAGAGAGACCCGCGCAACGAGGCGGCGGGGCGCCGCCAAACGCGTCTAGGCAAACGTCCGCGCGCGCCCCGCCCCCACAATGGGCGGGCGTCGCGCCGCGGCGCCCAGAACAAAAGCAAAAAAAAAAGTGCACGCAACACAACAGCAACGGCGGAGAACACAAAAGGCGGCTCGGGCTCCGGCAGCTGCGGCTTGTTTGGCGCGCGGCACGTCCCGCGGCCGGTACGGTTTTTGTTTTGATTTCGTCTTTTTTTTTTTTTTTTTTTTTTGGCTACCTTGGTTT